CCAAATTTAGCCTAGTGTTCAGGAGAGAGAACAAGGACTACATATTAGGTTTGGGAATCATCTGAATAGAACTGACAATTGAATGCAGAGGAGCTGATGAGATCTTAAAGAGAGTATATAGATAGAGAAAGGGAAGAAAGAACCAAGGACAGAGCTCTTGGGGGATATGAAATATAACATATAGGGGGTAGGACATGAATCCTTCTAAGGAGACTGAGAAGATGGTTATGCTTGGGTAGGGTGAAGTCAGAGGAAACTCTAGTGGAGTCCATTTTAGTTCTAACATGCAAATCAGTCAACCAATCTGGGCAAAGTGTTGGAAAATGTAATGGAATTATGGTGTTCTCACTTCCTGCTGAGTTTCCTGGGTGCCCAACTGTGAGCCAAGAACTTCTGGCAGGTGATAGAAGAAATAGGAGAATGTGAGGAAGTTGCCTTTTTAGCTGGTAAAGAGAATGACTGGCAGCATTTGGGATCTAAACAATCTTAATCTATCTTAACCTTGAAATGGGCAAGAAGCCCAGAGTGCTAGTATAGAGCTAGGTGTGGAATGAGAAGGCCTTTGGGGGCCATTTTTTGGAAGGCAGAAAATAGTAACAGTGCAGCATCACACAAACCTACTGTTGACTACACCTCATTCGAGATATTCTCTCCTCCTTGGAAAGAATATCTCAGTGGTGTAGTCAACACTGCTGAAATCTTCACAGGTCAGCAGGGATAAGAACTGAGACAAGGCTCTTGAATTTACCAATAAAGAGATCATTGGGCTACATGGAAAAACATAGATTCCAGCAATAAGGAGGTGATAGTCCTTCTACTCTGCCCTGATTAGATCACATCTGACTTGCATTTGATTTTGAATGTCTCTGTTTAAGAAGGTGCTGAGAAGCTAGAGAATATCCAGAGGAGAGCAACTGTGATAGTGAAAGGCCTTGAGCCCATGTCATATGATCATCAGTTGAAGGAAGTGGAATGTTTAGCCTGTAGAAGACAAAGCTCATGGGGATTCCCCTCCATATCTTCCCCAAAAGGATATTTCACAGTTTCCTTTAGCAGACTGCTCCAGGATCTCAATGCTTAATGCCTAACCTGTGTGCATCCATTATTAAATTCATTTTTTTCTAAATGTGCTCGTACTAATAATCTCGCATCTCTAAAGTGTACTCTTCCATCTCTTTCAACTAGTTTTCATGACTGTACATATACATATCTCCTAGTGCTTAGCATAATGCCTGGCACTTAAAAATACTGACTGACTTACTCTTTTTTTTTTTGCAAGGCAATTGGGGTTAAGTGACTTGCCCAGCGTCACACAGCTAGTAAGTGTCAACTGTCTGGTCTGAGACTGGATTTGAACTCAGGTCCTCCTAATTCCAGGGCCAGTGCTCTATCCACTGTGCCACCTAGCTGCCCTCTGACTTACTCTTAATTAGGCTTAGAGGTTAGCCAATATCTCTGTTAGACCTGGCATACTACAAGGAAGATGGAATAGCTTTCCTTATTTACTGTATAAACCCCATAAACATAGGCTAGTGTGTGCCCACTGCATGAGAAATAGATTGCCATCAGAAACTAAAGCATGTCAAGAGACAGTGATGCAAATAAACAGAGGGATATTTTGTTGCCACATTATAAACTTCAAACTGTTCAAAGTTCAAATTCCTTATCAAGTCTTGATGGGAGCTTAGTATCATTGAAGAGCCCCTATCTGTTAGTGATACTACAGGACATATTAGCCTTTTTTTTAGGCAATTGAGGTTAAGTGACTTGCCCAGGGTCACACAGCATGTAAGTGTCAAGTGTTTGGTCTAAGGTCAGATTTGAACTCAGGTCCTCCTGACTTCAGGGCCAGTGCTCTATCCACTGTGCCACCTAGCTGCTCCAAATCTTTTTTTTTTTTAATGACAGATGATAAGTACATCCCTATTCCTGGTGCTTTTTCACTTATGTTTAAAACTCAGTGTGATTTTTTGGAAAGTTCATAAGTTTAAGAGTCAGCAGACCTAAATGCCAGTTTCTCTTCTGCCTTTGAATGACTTTAGGCACACCACATACTCTATGACTCAGTTTCTTTATCTAAAAAAATGTTGACAATTCTATTTACTTTCAAAAAGATGTTGTCAAGATGAAATCAGGAAATGAATATAAAATCATTTTGAAAACAAGAGACAAAAGTTGTAGCAATAGCAGTTTGTTTTTGTCATTTTTTAAAAAGATATGAACATCTAGAGACATGCTTAACAAATTGTTTTCATGTAATCTGTTGGGGGGGTATATCTGTTGTCATTCTATTTGACATAGGGAAGTAGCCTAGAAGACTCCTTGACTTTTCTATGATTAGATCTCTAAAAATAATTTTTTAAAGCTTATTAACTCCCCTTAGATAACAATAACAACAAAAATTATTCAACAAATGAATAGCATCTTTTATAGGTACAAGGTAAATTGTAATAAACATATCTTGTGCAAATTCTTAGCTTTCTTTATTACTATACAAACTCTCTTCTTAATTATTTTATAATTTTTGTGGGAAATTTTGAGATGCTAAAAAAAAGTATGTATTAAACTTGCCATTTGCTTTTAGGATTTATTCAAGCCACCCCACATCCTTTAAAAACATGGTTTCACTCTGACCTAACCACTCTCCCCTGGCAAGGGATAATTGTAATTTCATAAATCTCACAAATGTCCATTCTCGTGGGATCCTTTATACTTCCTCTTTCAATATATTTATTTTTGTTTAGAATTGTGATTTCATCCATGTGGGGAATTTCTGTAGTAGGAACTCTCTCAAGTGATTCATTTCACAGGACATTAAAAGGTTAAGTTACTTATCTAGAATCACATACCTAGTATGTACCAAGCAGGACTTGAACCCAACTCTTCTTGCCTCCAAAGTCTATACACTCTGCTACAACACCTATACCACATAAGTGTCTGCTCACATATGAAAATCATATATTGATTCCAACAACTGATCACTCCAATGTGGAAAAAAAATACAACTGTTTTCTTGAATTGACCTGGGAATTCAGCCAGATGAGTCAATTTAGTCAAAACAGAGTGTCTGGTGGCCCCAGTTTTAATGTCACATACAAGTTACTGTTGAATGAACAACTAAGTTTGACTTCACTCAGACGTGGATCTTCTATGAGGGCTTACTGGCTTCTAGAGAATTACATAAAACATAACATAGAATGTTATGTATCCTTAATACTCATTACCTGAAAATTTATTTCTCACAGGAAACAGCTTCATAACATGCCACAGAAACAGGGACAAAGCTAAAAAGCTTTTGGAATGCTAAGTAAATGTGTTAAACCTTCTATTCGTGTCAGCAATCTAATATTCTAGGAATATTTGCTGCCTGATTGAGCAAACTGCATTAAAGATAATCCCATCTTTCATCCTGTAAGAAAAAAACCTATCAGGTCAGAAATATTAGACTGGATGGGGGAGGCTGGTGATAAGAAAGCAATGTAGTGATGAAAACCCTGCCTCTGAAGCACAATAAAATCTTCTTCCCTTGCCTCCTGCAAGGAGGCAGGAAAAGTGAGTTCACAAAATAACAATTTTCAAGTTAGAATGGTTGGACTAGATCTCTCAGCACCATTTCTTCACTTTAGAGATGAGGAAACTGAGGCCCAGAGAGGTGAAGTGGCTTGCCCAAATCTACATACACAGTTAGTAGATCTGGGTTCTATCACTCACTCACTGATTTCCAATCTAGTTTCCACTTGTGGTCCCTAACTGTGACCCGGTATTCACAGCTTCAGTAGGGCATAGCTTCCTGAAAGTCAAAAATTGTGTCAGAAGTCTCTGCCAGAAGTCTCCAGCCCAGGATAAGTGGGGGAGGGGCGGGGCAGGGGAGACTAGTTAGGGGAGCCTAGTTAGATGGAAAAGTTAATTGTATAAACCTATTCCACGCACAGTAAGGCAATCAATTCAGCACCTTGGACAGATCCTAGAATGGTGAGACAGAGAATCGCCAGGGGGCATTTTAACGAAAGCTTGGAGGTTTCATGGTTTGTGGGAGCAAAAAGGTTGGGGGAGTGGGCAAGATATAAAAAAGGAAGGTGCTATTCAGCTGATGGTTGACGTAGGACTTGATTTCTAGTTTGACGAAGCTAGGACGGGCTGGGCTTGCAAACATTCTTTTTGCAGAGCTGCGATGTCGGTATGGAGGGAGAAAGAGCTGGAGCTGAATGCAGGTACCAGCCTTTATTTCATTTTCCACTCTCCCCTCCTCCCCCTCCCCGCATTGAGCTGAAGAGATGCAGCTGCTCCAACAGCAGAAAACGCATAGACCTCAGACCTCTGGAAGGTAATTGCTGAGCCCAGAGATGCCTCTCTGACTTGCCCCTTAACATAGGCCAGCTTTTTCCAGCTAGTTTAACACGGCAGCCTTAGGATTAGTAAGGCTCAAGGCCATCCCGGGAGTGGTCTCTGCAGCAGAGGATAGCGCTGGACACAAGGCTCTGGCTTCCCGACTCTAAATATTCAGTATCTAAGGGTTTTCAGACTTGACAGCGGGGGAAGGGGGGAAAGAGAGAGAGAAAGAGAGAGAGAGAGAGAGAGAGAGAGAGAGAGAGAGAGAGAGAGAGAGAGAGAGAGAGAGAGAGAGAGAGAGAGAGAGAGAGAGGTTTCAGTTTCCACACCTGAGGGTTTCTTAAAAGTGGATTGTAGCCAAACCTCTTTCTTTCACCTCACCATCTTCCCTGGCTGATCATTTGGGACTTAATTCACCGACACTCCGCAGAAACTACGCCGCTGATCAGAGCGTGGCACAGCTGGATCAGCTGCCTACGGCTTCACAGCCTAGATAACCCTCCCAAACTTCCTACCAGAGCTTCCTTTCTCTCCTCCCTAAAACACACACACACACACACACACACACACACACACACACACACACACACACACACAGAGAGAGAGAGAGAGAGAGAGAGAGAGAGAGAGAGAGAGAGAGAGAGCGCTGGAAGACACTTCCTGACCACAAAATGGACTGGCCTTTGAACTTCACCGGCTCCTTTCTCACTCTCCCCTCCCCCTTCCCGAGCAATGGGAGCAGCAGCCCTGAGAATCTTAGCCCCAGTCAGCCCCCACTCTCGATCTTTGGCGTGCTAATCCTCACCCTGCTGGGTTTACTGGTGGTGGCGACCTTCACGTGGAACTTGTTGGTCCTGGCCACCATCCTCCGCGTGCGCACCTTCCATCGGGTACCCCACAACCTGGTAGCCTCCATGGCCATCTCTGACGTACTGGTGGCAGCTCTGGTCATGCCCCTGAGTTTGGTGCACGAGTTGTCCGGACACCGCTGGAAGCTGGGTAGGCGTCTGTGTCAGCTGTGGATCTCCTGCGACGTGCTGTGCTGCACTGCGAGCATCTGGAACGTGACAGCCATCGCCCTGGACCGATACTGGTCTATCACCCGTCACCTAGAGTACACTCTCCGGATTCGCAAGCGCATCTCCAATGTCATGATCACCTTGACCTGGCTGCTCTCAGCAGTCATCTCCCTGGCCCCTCTGCTCTTCGCCTGGGGGGAGACCTACTCCGCGGACAATGAAGAGTGTCAGGTGAGCCAGGAACCATCCTATACCGTCTTCTCCACTGTGGGCGCCTTCTACCTTCCCCTCTGCGTGGTGCTCTTTGTTTATTGGAAGATCTACAAAGCTGCCAAGTTCCGCATAGGCTCCAAGAAGACCAACAGCGTCACGCCCGTGCCCGAAGCCGTGGAGGTTGGTGGATTAACAACTTACATTTATGTCCTCCCCTCCCCTTCTCCACACCCCAATTTCTCACCACCTATCCCACAACTTTTAACTTTCCCCCCCAAAACTTGTAACAAGGAGATCATAGAATTAGGGTCCACTTCTGTATGTTGGATTTCTGTAGGGATCCCGCCCATGTCCATATTAAAGACACTTGGGTTCCTGTCTAGCTCTGTCATCAAAAACTCGGAGCGACTTCAGCCAGCAATTTATTTCCCCCTGTTTGGTCCTCAGTCACCTTATCTGTAAAACAGGACGGTAAAGCTAGACAATCTTTAATATATATAATTGCACATCCTTCTAGAATGTCACAAGCAGCTAGCCAATGCTATGTAACCTTATCACCTTACTGTTCTACCCTGATTTTGAGGGTGGGGGCATGACACACATACCCAAGGTGTGTTGTGAAAATTAGCCTGGCATAGTGGTAGGAGGCAGGAAAGACTTGTATTCAAATTCTACCTTAAACACTGAGCTGAGTCACCCCCACCAAAAAAAAAAGTCACTATGAAGTTGTTTTCTCGTCTGTAAAACTATCTGTTTCTTCTAACTTTAAACAATGACAATGAGTAGTACTATTGCTGAGACCAAGAGAGGTGATGTGATTTTTCCATAGCCATATAGGCAGTGAATGTCAAAGCCAAAATTCCAACTCAAATCATTTCCACGACATCAAAGAATTCAGGAATCCTTTGGGGACAGAAGGGAGAAAGATGATGGTGCAGTGGTTCACAGGAGTGTGACGAAGCAAACTGTTCTGCAAACCATAGTGCACTATCTAAATGTGAGATTTAATTATGTTCAAGGGAAAGTAACCATCTGTACTTGCATCCCTTGGTTTCTCTATTATGATTTGCAAGGATTTTTAGTGGTCTTGTAGTTTTCAAGTTGTCTCCTAGGTAACCACTATAGTTTTGCATGGTTTCTTTTCCCCCGAGCTAATATGAAAGTTATAAACAGTATATTTAATCCTTGGTTCTGTACTTGTTTTCTTTCTGTTCTTTCTACCTTCAATTTTCTTTTTCTGGGACTTCCTCCCCTGTTTACAGCACCACCTCTCCACAAGAATACATCACAGTAGTTGCCCACAGTGCTTGAGAAGGACATCATGTCTTGATGACGCATCTAACAGGCACTCAGGAACAGCCATAGCTTTGACAACAAAGCAAGGCCAGAGACTAGATAAGGAATGCTTGCCTTTGGGTTCTTCTGCACAGGTGAAATTTACCTTCAGGGAACTGAAGCTGTCAAAATACCCTCTTGCTGTTTCCTGATGAGGACTTATTTTAATATTTGAGGCCTTTGATTGAGAAAATTGGGAAAATAAAAGCACTAAATTGATCACGGCGATGTTCTTGTTTCTCCCTCTCTTCCTCTCTCTTCCTCTTCCCTCTATTTTCTGTCATCAGTAATCAATTCTAATTCAAAGAGGATCCAAAGTGATGTAGGCTCAGGAGCGTAAGTAGACTTCGGAGGAGCGGGGTTAAGGGGAAGAAGCAGGTACCTTGAGCATAGTGAGGCACAGAGGCACATGCCAAGTTCATTCGGTGTCCTAACCCCAAACGTATCTGAACAGAATGGACGGTCAAATATGACACTGAACCCACGGTCAGCACACTTGCATGTGATCTGCTCCATATGAAAGCATGTACTCCGTACATCGGAGGCCCTGATCTTGTCAATGCTGACCTGGACACTAAAATGGACCTTCTACAGCATCACCACTGGGTAAGAGAGGGATGCACAAGTAATCATGTCCCTCTCCCTGACCCTGAATATATTCATTCAAGTGATATGAAATTGAAATAAACATCAAGGGTGGCTTTGAAGGGTAAAGTCACAAAAAGCAACATCTAACCTTGTGAGGGACATGGAAGAAGACAGTTTCACGTAGCTTATCTAGCTAGCTATTTTACCTCAAGTATCTCTAACTTCCTTTTAAACATCTTGTGGAAGGATCACAAATAGTCAATAAACAGAGTATTAAATTTCAGTCAAGAGGCTGGTAGGGTTCACTGGAAAGACACGGTGCTACATCGAATTCCTATATCTGACATTTTACTCCCTGTGATACCTTGAGTTTCCTTGTCTGTAAAATGAAGAGATAAACTAGACAGCGTCTAAGATTCCTTCTATGGAAGAGGCTCCATGAGGATAGGGACTGTGCTACTTGTCTTTGTATCCACAATGATTGATTGATTCGATGAACTACCTATTTGACATTGGCTAGGTCCCCTACTCTCTAGGCCTTAGATTCTTTAACTGTAAAATGAGAGAATTGTGCTAGATGACCTCTAAAATTCTTCTGTCCCTAAATCTATGATCCTATGATTGGTTGGAAATTTGCCTCAGGCTGTGTCACAATTTACTTCTGTATGTATTTATTTAGTGTCTACTATGTGCTAACTAGGGCTATAAAGACAAAAACAGAGTCAGTCCTTGAATTCAGGGAGCTTACATTCTACAGTTTAACCTCTTAGAATGTCTCTCCTCATCTGCATAATGGAGATAATAAATTCTTGTATAAGCTCCCTAACTAGCCCCAGAAACAAAAACCATGAGGCATCCCAGCTTGCGTCCCTTTTCTTTGGCCTCTGCATCAAGCAGAGAGCATCTAGAGCACTTAATAATGTATTGCTGTATTGAACTGAGACTACTGTCTGGGTCTTAGATACCACCCAAGGAATGGGAGTTTTCTCTTCTTCTCTGTCACTAAGCATGAGCCCTTAACCTAGGGTCCATCAACCCCCTAAAGGAATTTGTAAATGGATTTCAGAGGATTCCTGAACCTGAAACTTCTAATATTTTAAGTATACTTTGGTGCAACTGGCTTCCTTTGTAATCCTATGTATTTTATACATTCAAAGACATTCTTAAAAAAAGTTCATAGCTTCATCAGACTGCCAGAAGGGTCCAAGACACAAAAATGGTTAGGAACCCTGTCCTAAAAGTCCAACAGAATTCAAAGTGAAATCTACCAACGGAATTCCTTGATCTTAATTGTAAAGGTATGCCTTTCAAGGTAAATGTGCAGGGAATGACCCAGATGTCCGTCTTTTGTGAGATACCTGGACAAATGGAACCTAGGCAGAAAAGGAAATGTCTAAATAAAGTTTCTGTTCATAGAATTAAGCTCCTTGAGGGCAGGGACTGCTTCATTTTTGTCTTTGTATCTGTAGCATTTAGCACAGTGCCTGATACTTAGTAGAGCTTAATAAATACTTGTTGATTGATCATTGCAGGTAAAAGAGGCCCTCCACCAACCTCAGATGGTATTCACTGCTCGTCATGCGATGGTGACCTTCCAGACTGATGGGGACACATGGAGGGAAAAGAAAGAGAAGAAGGCAGCTGTCATGGTGGGCATCCTTATTGGAGTGTTTGTGCTTTGCTGGATCCCATTCTTCATCACTGAGCTCATCAGTCCCTTCAGTTCCTGCAACATCCCTCCCATCTGGAAGAGCATTTTCTTGTGGCTTGGCTATTCCAATTCCTTTTTCAATCCTCTAATCTACACAGCTTTCAATAAGAACTATAACAGTGCCTTTAAGACCTTTTTTTCTAGGCAGCGATGAGAAAAGGGAAGACTGGGAAGAGAGGCTGATGATCTCCTACCCTACCGTTTAGTCACACTGAGGACCTCTGATCATTAGTAGTCAAGATTATCCTGGGTTTCCAACAAATTCCAAAGATCTTTCCTCATGAAGGTCTGACCTCTTGCAACTCTTCAATTGGAAACTCTGAAGAAGGAAAGAGCCCTCTCCTACATGCAGGGGGAGGTGGGGCATGGCATACTCCCTATGACGTTTCCTTTCCTTCCTAAGACCCCTCCCAGAGTGAGAATGAGTGAGTGAAAATGACTAAACAGGATAGTTTCAGCTCAACACACTAATTTGTATATTTCCATTTGCAAGGTTTTTCTTTAGTTACTTTTCTATGGGAAGGGAGAAGCCCAGAAAAGTACATCAGTCTTAGAAATAGGTGGCACCTCAAAGTCATCAGCCCAGGTGGAAGCCGCTAAATTTACCCATGAGTTTCTGTGCCCTTTAAGGGCCTACCTATCCCTGAGAGACTGTATGTTCTGTTCTGTGTATTTACAAAAACACAAAAACAGAAACAAAAGACTCACCTGACTTTTCACAGAAACAAGCTGAATCAAATGCTACCTTTCATTTTTGAAGGAACTAATATTCTTTAGAATTTTTTTGGTTGTGAAGGAAAACATTTGTCAAGTGTCTCTTAGTAAACTTGTTTGTCTTGAAATTTTGTGAGTGTTTGAATGCAATGCCTTATGTGTTAAGTAATTGCTTCTTTTGGCCACAGATCCTGCTAAAACTCAGGCTTCCTTCCTGTTCCACTGTTAAAAAGGAAGGGGGTTAGATATGATTTCTAAGACTTTGGTACCGAAATGGAAGAGAAAAAGTGAGCTTTATAGGCCAGTCCTGTGAAATGACCCCAAGGGACAACCTGTTTAGCTCAATAATTGGCGTTTGGAAGAGATAATTCATGAGTCAATAGCATTTATTAAACACATACTAAATGTTAAGACCTAAGCTAGGTCCTCACTAAAGTGAGTCAAAAAGCTTATATTTCAATAAAGAGAGACAACAAATGTAGCAAAATGCTGGCCAGGCAGCAAGACTTTGGTCTGGGAAGTTGAGGGAGAAGTGAGCAGAGCCAGGGGGAAGTTGATGAACGAATGGACAGAATACACCTTTTCCAGAGCAAGATATGAAAGTCTGAAGAGAGAGTCATGGAGTGGTACTGTCAGAGTGGTTGGCAAGAAGATGGCCTTCAGACAGACTCAGTACAAAGTACAGTCTGGACAAAGCTGGATACAGTGGGCTATATGAATGATAAATATTCTTTCTTATTGGGGTCAAAGTGCCTGCCAGATGGCTAAACTCTTTGGGAAGGCTGTCTATAACCAGGGCTTTCACTTCTTTTCTTAACTCTCTGCAGTCTGTAGCCTAGCTTCCAACCTTATTCAACTGCAATCAATGACCTCCAAAGTTATCAATGGTCTCTTAATTGCCAAGTCCAATAGTCTTTTCTCAATTCTCATCTTTCCTGACCTCTCTGCTGCCTTTGCCAATGCTCATCCCCCTCTTCTTTCTAGTCTCTCTAGGTTTCCACTGACACTACCCTAATCCTGATTCTTCTACCTGCCAGACCTCTCTTCAATCTCTTTTGCTGGATCTTCCAGATTATGACCGCTATGTGTGACCCCCAGTGCACCGTCTCATGCCCTCTTCCATCTTCCTCTACACTTTTTTGCTTGATCTTATCAGCTTCCATGGATTCAACTGTCATTTTTAAGCTAATGATTCTCAGATCTACTTACCCAGTCTTAACTCTTTCCTCAACTCTAGTTTCAAATATCCTACTGCCTACTGGATATCTCAAACTGAATATTCCACAGACATCTTAAACACAATATATCTGAAACCAAATCCATTATCTATCCTCCCCAGGCCATCCCCTCTCTGAATTAGTCTACTTCTGTTACTGTCAAGGACGCTCCCCTCCTCCCAGTCACCCATGCTTACAACCCAAGTGTCATTCTTGACTCCTCACTCCTTCACCCTATCACATCAAATCTGTTGTCAAGGCCAGTCCATTCCACCTTAGTAACACCTCCTATACATGCCCCCTTCTCTGTTTTGTTACTGCCACCCTCCGAGCACATGTTTTACCTTGTGCCTGGATTATTACAATAACCTTCTGTTTAATCTCCCCACATCAAGTCTTTCTCCACTCCAGTTCATCCTCCATTCAGCTATAAAATTGACCTTCCTAAAGTGAGCTAGTGGCTCCCTATTGCTTAGAGAATAAAGTATAAAATCCTGAAAACCCTTCATAACCACCTTCCTACCTTTTCTGTCTTCTTGTACCTTGGCTCCCCCTTCCCTCACAGTCTTCCACACAGTGACCCTGTTCTTTTTGCTGTTTCTCTCACAACATTCCATCTCCCTGACTCCATATATTTTCACCAGCTGCCTGCAATTCTCTCCCTCCTCAATTCCTTCAAGTCCCAGCTAAAATCACACCCTCTATGAGAAGCCTTTTCTGTTCTCCCTTAATGCTAATGTTTCCCCAAATCGGTATCTCCAATTTATCTTGTACAGATCTTGTTAGCATACAGTTGTCTGCTGTCTCCCCTATCAGAATGAGTTCCTTCAGGGCAAGGGCTTTTGTTTTCTTTTTATTTCCAACACTTAGGCTGGGACATAGTAGATGCTTAGTAAATGCTTGCTGCCTTTAAACACTGTGCATAATCTGCACACTTCCAAGGCTGATCATCGTCTGTGTAGGAAAATAAGACACATCTGACAATGAATAATTCAATGCACCACAGAATTATACAAAACCCAGATATAATGTAAAAACATGAGAGGGGGAATAGAGAAAGCACCCTGGATTTAGACCCCAACAAACCTACGTGTAGTGCTCAATTCTGACAGTTACTATCCACGTAATTTTAGGCAAATTTCTTCAGCTCTTTAGTTTCCTCTACTCTGAAATTAAGTAAGATCTCTTAATAACCTTAGTAAGCTTTAAATCCTATTAGCTTAAGAACCTATATGGCAGGAGCTCTTGTTATTTGTATCATGGACCCTTTCTGGTCCATGACAGTCTGGTGAAGGCAGGCTCATGAAGCCTAAGGATCTTTGCTCAGAATAATGTCTTTAAAAGCAAGAAAAAATATATATACAGGCTGACAAAAGAAACCAATTATATTAAAAAAACAAATTCATGGATTCCAGCTTAACAACACCTCCTAGAATGGCTTTCAAAGCTCTAAAATTCTACTATTTCAGTGGATTACTACATGTGTGATTTATAACCATGGTCAAATCTATAAAAGAAAGAATTCCCAAATTATTCTGTTTACAACTCAAATTATTTTGCTCCTTCCTGCTGCTAAAACTACGCTTGTGTTTAGTTTATGTTCACTGTGGCATATGACAATTCCTTGGGCAAATGGAAGATTTGGGAAGATATGAACTTCTAGGGAAAGTTTTCTGGTTAACCTCCACAAAACCCTACCCTAAACATAACTGAAAATGTAGGCATAAACAAGGTGAGTTTTCTACCTTAGAGAGGCTTGTATAGCTTTAATGTACTGTATTTATTTTAATCACTGGTGCCCCCACACTGCCCTATGGTTCTCACTATCCTGAACCTTAATCTTTGCTGTCTTGTCTGAGATAGGACCTAGAACTAAAACTGCTTGCCTTAGATCAGCTTCTGAGGCGTTTCATTGTTTCAATGAATCCCTACTATGAGTTTATTTGCAAACTTCCCCTAAAAGCAATGCATTGAAAACATGACTATGTTTTACTGTAATGTTATAATGAGTTGTGACATAGTATAATGTAAATTAGCTAAAAAGATAGTAAAATCTCCAGATGCCCTCACTGCCACATAGTAAATGCTTTCTCTTCTAACCCCACACGTGGGAAGAGAAGGAGGAAGGGAATAAGTGTGTGTGACAGTCACTGTGCTGAGCTTTTTTCAATTTCATTTGATCTCCAAGCCCCCAGGTAAGGTAGGTGCTCTTATTATCCCTACTGTACAGTTGAGGAAACAGAGGAGAAAAATCGTGTTGGTCCAATTACTCTCCTGTTTACCTCTTTGAAACTAGCTATGGTCTGTATTCATAAGCTAGTTTAACTGATTTTCTCATCTGTAAAAGGAGAGCATTTGAACTCAGTGGCCTCTGCGGTCCTCCAAATATATAATCCAGTGAGCCTTTAGTGGTAGCGAGATTAGGTTTTATCCTTGGTCCTCTAGGCCCATCACTGGTTCTTCAGTCACTCAGAGTGTGACTTCCTCTTCATGATCTGCTCATTTATACCCACTGCAGTTTTCTTTCTGCTTCTCATGCTTATTTCTCTCTTCTTTCAATTCATACAGATCTGACCTGGCATAACGTCTTAATTCTAGGTGCCACATTTTAGCTATAACATGTAAGGATACTCTACAACTCATGAAGTGGATCCCCCAGAAAAGGCTACCCCATGTCTGAGGCATTCTACTTGTTCATATCTACTCAAAACCAAAACCTATGAATGGCCACTGATGGGTTTCCCCAAATAGGCGAGAGCAAAGGGCATTTCATTAAATAGCCTAGCATGAAAAGTAACAATAGGGTATACTGTTCCACAAATACAAGCAATCACACATATGGCCAAGTTTTCCTCCTGGCCTCTACTGCTGGCTCTGCTACTGACTCCCTCAGTGCGGGGGGTCTCCTCACCCTGAAATAGCCCAGCAGGGGTGCTGCTTGCTCACCCAGGAGTTCTTCCTGAGCCTACATTTTACAGAAGGAACAAAGGTGGCCTGCCTTCGTCCTCCTTCTAATTGTTTCTGACTTTCTGCACTTCAAAACTAACTCCCCGCCACTTCCTTTTTCAGCTCCCTTTTGTTGCCTTCTCCCAAAAGAATGTAAGCTCTTTGCAGGCAGAGATTTTTTTTTTTGCTTAGTTGGTATCCCCAGCACAATAATCTAGGATACACAGTAAGTGCTTAATAAATGCTCATTTTCTTCCATTCAAGCACACAACTGGAAAGACAAATCATGCCTCGGATGTTGCAGGGCCATTAATATTCTTGTACTGCTCCTACTGGGCCTGCTCTTCACTAGTCCCCACTAGTTGCTAACAGATAGGGTTCCAGTGGGCATGTGGCTATTGACCTCTCTGCTTCTACTTTCTGGCAACAGCTCAAGTCCATGGCTGTCATGTACTATCTTCTACTGAGCACTTTCTGAAAAGCAGAGACCCTAGCTTTCAGTAACAGGATCTACCACGATGCTCCTTGAGAAGAAATACACATTCATGTACTCACTTTAACTTCTTGACTTTTTCCCCTTAAGGAGAGATCAGTCGTGTTCCTTTAGATTACTTTTCCCCAGTGCCAAGCTGCTTAGAACAAAGTACCAAGAAACTACTCATTAAAAACTAATACTTCCAAATGCAAATAGGACTTTTGAACTAAAATTACCTACTCCAGGAGACAGGGTCTCTGTTTTAGACTTCTTTGAAGTAAACATTCTCTGCTTCCCAATTTTTATCTGCGGCTATATCATCATTATTGCTCTTTTATTTATCAATGTAAGGGTTACTCACCCAATAAAACTGCTAAGGGCACCCAGGTTCAGGGATCTCTGGGTTAACTCCAAATTCC